CAAAGCCACTAAGACAAAACTGGAAACAGGCTTCCAGCATGTCTCTCTATACTAGATATGTGGATATTGTCATAATATTACTGATGATTGTAATACTTGGTAAGTATTGTAATACTTGGTAAGTGCCTAAAAACAAAGTGCTGTGCAATATGTAACATAAAATTTGCGGTGTTAAAGCCCTGCCTGCTGGTTGACAATCCAAATAAAATATAAAGGATAGGTGTAGATCCAGTTTGAATGAATTGCAGATCCAGAACCAAAGTTGTCTGGTTCAGAATGGTTTGGGCTTTGTCTGAGATTAAGCAAAAATTGCTTGAAGTACCTTGAAGCAAATCATATATTCCTGAAAAATTCGTCTACCTTGGAGATTTCGAGGGCATAGATAGAATGAGACTGAGTCAGACAGTCCGTTAAAAACAGATCTATTTCCCCTCCAAGCTGAAAAGAGGGAGGGAGGAGAAGTCATAACTTTGTGACTGCCTCTACCTTACATCTGGGAAATAATGTTGCCAACGCTTTCCTTTTTTCTTCCAATCACTCTTCTTTGGGAAGTGATGTAAAAGATGGAACATCACTTGCTATCAGATGAACTGAAAGAAAAAAAACCAAAGACTTAAATGTTTTTATTCATCAAAATGCCCTGATCCCAGTGCCCATCCAAACATTTTACAGATTACTCACCAAGGAGCATCTGTGGTGAATGCTATTTTTGTGCAAATTGCGTACTGAAACACAGGGGAGGAATTGACTGCCTGATGCTAAGTAAGTTTGACTCTTGTCAGTGCCTGGATAGAAGACTACTTGGAAAATTAATGAAAGCTTCCGCAAGCTCTATGATGGGTTCTAAATATATTTAATATGTGAATAAACAAAAAGAGCAGCTTTTCCTGCAAAGAAATAATAATAAACTTAGATATTCCTTCCTTCAAAAAGCCAACTCCCTTTGTAAACTGTAAAGGCACCAAATGCCAAAACCTCTGCACCTGTCTGAAAACTGATATCCCTCATACATGCAGAAAGAACTACTACATCTATAGGATCACTCATCTCTTCTGAAAAATGTTACAGTTGTTCATTCACTGTCCTTTCATATAAGTTAATGGAGAGACATGCAAACCCTTAAATTTTCCAAACTAAAGCTCTGCTTCAGACCTAAGAGAAGAGGCTCATAACTAAAGGATTCTGAATCAAACTGGCTGAGTTCTTGAACCTTGTCTTCAGTTAGAGATGTACAGCTTTTGTTAACTCAGTTGTGTCTGTGTTTCTCAATTTTTGTTTTGTCACTAACTCATTGAAGGAATTGGATTTTTTAAAAAAGTAATATATGAGAATTTTGTTCCACTTACATAGTGCAAGTACACAGTAATGTTAATGTGTGTTAATACAAACGCAGGTTTTTAGAAATTTCTTCTACACACTGAAACATTCACACACACACACTAAAGAACAAACAAAAACGGTCCTTAAGTCTGCAGGGACCATGTGACTTGAAAAAGCTCATCCCTATGTATTCTGTACATCATAATAATAGAATTCTGAACCCATTTGAGGTCATTACAGATTCCTATGACATCCCTGTCACCCAACAGCTGCATCTGCTATTAAGTGTCACTAGATTAAAGACCCTCTAGTCAATTCCATAAGCTACATTAATAAGGGCTAGCCTTGACATGCTGGTAGTTGTAGGGTTTTTTGTCCAAACCAATTTAGGGTTGTACCATTAAGCTATCACTAAATCTATATTCTTTTACATGTGGCTTAAAACAATATTTCAGAAGCAAAAGACATCCTTTGTTTTTGGATGTTTTAAAAATGTGTCACAGAAAGTAACATCTTAGGAAAAGTATTGCCAACTGTGTCTTGAAGAAGAGCGAAATTCCTACTTTCCCATTTGCTGTCCTCATGTAAGCATGTGTATTATTAATACTAATTTATGATATTATACTAAAATAGATTATTTTAACTTCATTATCTGATTGATCAGGGTACATTTTATTTGCTTTTTAAATGATGAGACACTGCAGTCCTTCCTCTTATTAGCCATTATAGCTCACTAGTCCTGTGTTTCTCTTATCTCTCCACAGGTAGAGCAGCACCCATCCAAAATTCCTACCCTTTTGTCATACCATAAGTTAGGCTTACAAATTAGAAGTCAGAAGTGGAAAACTATTTCTTAGGTAGGGAAGCCAGCTTGCTTAAAAGAATTCCTTTACCTTTCAAAATTGTATGGCAGATGAATATGTATTGGGTATAATCCTTACAGAATTCAGATACTTGTTACTGTTTTAGTCATCTACTTCCAAAAGAACAGGGTCTGTGCAAGGAAAAAAAGGTTGGCAAACTCATTTCTACATTACGCTATCACTTCACTCACTTGCCGATACTTTTCAATAAAGTTATATTTCATCTGTGCCTCTGTTCTTAAAAGTCATAGCATCTCATCTCTCTTAAGCATCTCATGATGTAATCACTACAGGACATTCCAGAGGAAGGTTCTGTTGGTTCTCTAGCAGAATAGCCCAACAAGGGTGATAAAGCGAGTTTAAACGGTGCCATGTCCTCCTGATGTCTTCCATGCTTACAGGTTACAGTGATAACATGCGTATTTGGTCCATTTGAGAGGGAAAATACTTTTGTCAGAGAGGAAAGTTTGTCACATGAATGATGCAGAATGTGCACCGCGTTCCTTCCAATGGGCTCTGGAGGCTTATGCCACGTGCTCCTGCTGTGCAGTGTGTGTCATCTTGATGGCACAGAGTCTAGAATAGGCTGTTTGACAACTTGATAATCCTACTCCTGTTGTATGTTGGTGCTTGCTGTGCATAGAGAATGTGGATGAGTGTCACTGTGTTTAGTGGATGGTAATATGACTGGTTAGATACAGTTTCAATATAAGCTAAGGTAGAACTGTGTAATGTTGTTTTCTGAAACGGTTATCAAAAACTGGATGTTTCACTCAAAAAAGGTCTATTTTCTGTTATTATTAAATTTACTTAATTTTCCTGCTTTCATCAAGTAACTGACGTTTTACTGTCTGCTGCAGAAAGGTTATTTCAACTATTCTGGGAAAATGTAATATCTTATCTATAAGTGACAAAACTACTGGTTTAGAAACTGGAATGTTTCCTGGGAAATCAGTGGGATTAGAGGTTATTGAGGTTATTAGAGGTTATTGAGGGTATTAATTACAAAAATTGGGAAATATTCTTTCAACGTTTGAATTTTGTGTGTGTGTGTTTTGAAAGGCTGGTTGGTCAACAAGGGAGGTACACATTTCTTGCTTTTAAGGCTTTAATAACTTCTCATGGGTTTTTCTAAACATTGCCTTTTCAGTTAATAGTAGTTTTCCTTGGAGCTTATGGTCATAGCTTTTAGTATTTAACTTATATTAATGATGGTGTGCATATTCTGAATTTGGATATAAAGTTGTGCATGGAAAATTGTGCATTGTTTTCTTGGTAATGTAAGCTTGTGAAGAGACTGACCAAGTTTAAATGTAATATCTGAAGACTCTGCTTTGTCTCTGTGATAGTCCTGCTATGCTGTGAGTTGGGCAGCCTAAAACTGCAAAACATGAAAGAAGATGTAGCTTCCCTTCCAGACAAGCAGCAGCAACTGGATTGAATGATTGTGTGTTAGTATATCCATACTCCCTCAGCTTTAATATGGGCAGTAACCGTTGCTGGTATAAAGCCTTGCAATGAAGATGAATGATACTATAGCCTTTGATTAATCCAGAAATGGAAAAGCCAATATAACAATAATCATATACAGTTAAAATGCTAAAAATACTTTTCAAAGCCATGATGGAATCAGAAAATTGCACTATTAAATTTATCTGTGTAACTCAATTATACAACATAGTAAAATAATATCATGAGAACAGAGCATTTAAATGCATGTTAAGATAATTCATGTAGTTACTTTTCAATAAAAGAACCCGACAAAAATCTGATAGCTTTCTAGTACAATTTTTAATATGCTGAAGGAATATACAGTGTAGTAATTTCAGTATCAGAATGCCTTGAACTACAGGGTTGGCCCTCACATGAGTTGGGATTTGAAGGAGTACCACTACTCTGGTGGTGAAGTAGGAGTGATGAACTGCATATGCCAACATAGCAGAAGGGTTCCCTGCTGGTACTGCTGAGTATACTCCAGAGAGCCCAACCAGTAGCTCTTCAATTTAGCTCAACCAGCAGACCTTCAGTGAAACCCCTTTCCACAATGCCTGACTGTGGGGAAGGACTTCCTTAGAATCAGGAATCTGACTGGGATTGTCCAACTCTCTGCAGAGGCATGCTGACTACTTTTTACTCTTCAAATGTCAGCAGAAGTGCTAGCAATGGGGAGGTAGATGGGATATGCAGAGGATGGAAGAGCTGGTACAGGAGGTGGGAAACACAGTGGGGAGAGCAGTAGGCACTGGGATGTAAGGTGGAAGTGGCTGGAATGGGGAGCTGGACACAGCCAAGCTGCACATGTGCTGTCCTGGTTCAGGTAGTGGAAGAACTTGTGCCAGCCCTGTTAATCTATATAAGAGTAAAACATACTTGTTTAGTGATGAACACAGTAGAATTTCAGTGAAAAATAGTACAGTATATCTTTTCATTGTCTGCTCCATTTATAAATGTACAGTTTCATATTCTGTTTGGAACTCTCAGATTATTTAAACTATTGTCAGATGATATAATAATGAAAACGTGAACTCATCTTACTAACTTACTAGAACTTTGTCACCATCATAAACGGGAGCTCAGGCAAGAGTACTCAAGCTACACAAGGGAGAAAGCAGGTGGCATTTAACTACTCTAAAAGTCAACAGTGTAGACAAATGTATCACTACAGATGTGATATAATACATATGGTAAATATGGGACAACATTTGCAAATATTGTAGCAATTTTACTAGAGTAAAACTTCATGAATCTGAAGAAAAATCAATTCTAATGTCTCTGGCTGACAGTACATCTGTTTATTTTTAATCGTTTTGTCTACAGATAGCTTACTGATTGACTACCAGTTTACATTCAGCTTATTACAAGAAGATGATCGCCATCACACTGCCATAAACTTTATTGCAAATCCTGAACAGGTGAGCCAATATAACTGATGGTGTATAACATGACTATTTAATGATTAAACTAGGTTCACTTTATAATTCATTCTTTATTTCTTTGTGGGAACTAAGATATGTCATATAGCAGTGATATAAACAGTATCCAACTCAGCACAGGCAGGAGAGTTACTACACTCACGTGTTGCATATGGGTTTCCCGTGAATGTCTGGTTGGCAGCAGTAGAAACAAGATGTTGGACTAGCTAGGTCTTTGATCTGAACTATTATGGCTTTTCTTATATTTAGGTTGTTGAACAGCTGGTTTGAGAATAAATGTTGAAGTAAAGACTTGCACTCATCTTTATTATAGTTTTGTTTCCAGATATGTCTAGATCAAAACTTGTACAGATACCAAGATGTGCCTTATTTTTTCTCTGCTGCTCACTAGCTGCCTTTCCCTTAGAATGTCTCTATCTGCAATGGAACTCTAAAAAAACTGCTCACTGTATGCAAAATTGTATGGTGGATAGTGACCTTTGTAGTCAGTCCCTTCTAGGATTTAAGATACAGACAAATATGGTTGATTTCTGTTGATTATGTAAAACCTCCGAATGACACTACTATTTCATTGGCTGATACGAATCCATCAAGTGACACAGGATTTAGAAACTGTAGATTGCAAATATCTCTGCACATTTTGTAGCAAATCTTCCTTAGAGACTTAAGATATCCTAAGATTGCTTCTTCTTTGATACTATTATACTTTCTCTGCCAATAATGTAGGTGCATAAATTTATAACAATAAATATAATAATCAAGATTAAAAGGCTCAGGAGATCCACTGTTGGCTTTTTTAGTTTACTCTCGAAGATTTTAAAAAAGGGCTAAATTCCCTATCCATACCATTCCTACTGCTACTCCTGAGCGATCTAGAATCTGATATTCAGCAACTTTACCTCTTCATACAATTGCTATTTAGTGGTACTAACTCTGTCCATACAGAAGTAAAATAAAAATATTTATCATGATTCAACAGATCTGGGAAGTTCAGTAATCCTACTCTAAAGTCATCTAACTATGATTTTCTAACATGGAACAGATGCATATGGGTGTGGGCTTGAGAGGGAAAATATAGGACACTTAGAATTTATCTAATACTCCTCTAATAATAACAAAAATAGAAATAATTTATATAGTTTTTGTTGAGTTGTAGATATTGGTTGCTCAGCTTTTATTTTCAAAAAACTATAGCCTGAAGAACCTTTGGTTAATTAATCTACAATAAGATATGAAATCCTGTTTTTTAAAAAATGCTAATCTAAACTAATGATGACTAGGAATAAAATACTATGCGTGTTATGGCTGGCTCTGGCAGGCTGAGTACTGCAGAATTTTTTAAATATATAAACATGTATAGAATTATACCTTAAATAACAGAAAAAAAGATTTGGTCTATGTTACTTTATTTGGATCTTATAAATAAGTGTATTTTTGTTTGGAATCTTAGATTATAATATGGAAGAATAATCACTAAAATATATTTTTATTATTGTAGAAAATAAAAATTGAGAATATAGTTATTGCTAGTCTTATATTTTTTAGATATAATCTTTTTATGCAATAAAGCTTCCCTGACACAATTAACATCAGTTGTATTGACAGATATACAGGCACATTCATACAGTGTTTTTTGTAAGGGTACACATGGCTTTGTGTACATTATTCTAGCAATTCTTAAAGTAAACATAAGCAGGCCATTGGTATTATCTCTGTGTTCAAGGGCTGATGAAAAATATAGCTGCCTAAAGCTTCCAGTGACTTGGTGGCTGTGATAAGACCCAATCAGAGAGCTTTTCACTGACATCTTATTATATTAATGCAACACGATGCTGACCTATGGAGTGTCAGTGCCTTATCCCTGTGCCAGTGAAGAGGCACGTTCCTTTGTATGTGTTGCGAGAGCATGCATGGAAGTTTGGTCAAAGTGATTGGTCATATTTGAACCCTCACCCTAAATTTAAACACAGTATCAAGTACTGTGTTTTGCCCCTTCTGTAAGAAGTAAGTAGCCCTCCTTGAGCATGAGGAACAGTTTTACTGGTTTCTGTCCATTAGCTATTTCTACTGAAATCAGTGAGGATTCCCTTGAAATCAGTAATGGCTATACCCCAGAGATGAATCTGCAAAAAAGGCTTCTACTGTTAACTATTGCAAGTAGATACGAGCATGTTCAAAGGGATCCTCATTCTTGATGGCTGTAGAAGGAGAAGGCCATCTAGTGTGTGCACAGGATCATGGCTGGTGTGTTTATGTTCACAGTGCACGTTTGATTAAATGTGATTATTTGTAGAGCCATCTCTTTAAGCAATATATTTACATAATGTTCTTTTTTCCCTTTAAAATTTTAGTCAAATAAAAATTTGGACATATCTATTAATGCATCAAACAACTTTAACCTGAATATCACTTGGTCCATTGGCTCTACAGGTAAGAAAGATCTAAATGTATATCTTTTTCCATATTGTCTCAAATACTGATAGTCTAGCTATATTTACATGATTGCCCTTTTTGTTTCTTATTAGTAAAGCTTAATAAAATGTATTCTTTTCTCATTCTAATTATGCCATTATTAATGATATTACTTAAAACTCAGATAATTTACAATCTGAATAAAGGTTCATTAACACGTTAACTTTCTTCTCTATTCAATTAAAATTACTTGGGTAGCAAAACCTTGTATGCTCTTTAAATTTTTAGAATGGCAGTGTTATGAACGCAGTGATTTTAATTAAGATAAATTACTTTCTTAACTACTGCAGAGACCGAGTTTTTAATTTCTTTGTTTCAATGTTCAAGCTAGGAATTTAATTATTAACCTTAACATTGATATCAAACAATAAAATCCTTCTGTGTGTGCTGATAAAAGAACCTGCTTATCTTCCTCATATTTTTTTCCTTCAAACTTTTGAACCCAATTTCTCTGTTGGCTTTAATAAAAAGCTTTGTTTAGAAAGTTTCTTTGAATTGGCTATGTTGACTTTCTGAAAACATATCCAAGGAGAGCACCATTTATCACATTTTTAATTAGTTATGCAGAATAGTTAAGAACTGGAGGCAGTTCATACTTCAAGCAGCTGATCTGTTTCTCCAAGTGTCAAGTTACATTTATATTCAATGAACAGTACAATATTTGGAGGGGAAACATGCATTTACAAGCATATGGTTGACATACACCAATGAGTTGAGCAAAGTGTGCTTCTTCTGTAGGTCCCTGTGTTTTGTGGCAATCTGCACCTCTTCAGACAGTTCAGTTTTTGTCACAAGATACATACAGAACCTGGTTGCCTAGAAAACAACCATGCATATCATGTGAAAGTGAGAAATGGTTCTAAAATATGTCTAAAATATAAAAATATGTAGCAGATTACTGTAGCAGAGGATCTGAAAGTGCATGCATCGCTCACATACAACCTTTCTTGTTATGGTAAAGCAAACCCTATTGCTCTGAGATACATAGTGTTTCAGGGTGTGTGTATTGCTTAGCTATGCTAGTAGAAGCTTCTGAAGAAGAGCTGAATGATAACAGATACGGGGAATAATAGAAGGGATGATACTGCTTAAGCTCTTCCCTTCAGAAGTGCCTTATACTGCTATTTGTAGTAAAAAGGGAATGTATGTCCTCTAATAGGAGTAAGAAAGGTGTAAGAAAAAGGCTCACAAAGCAGGTAACATGTGGCAGGCATTAAGCAAAATTCGCTAGTGGAACAGAATATGGCCTTCACTGCATTTTTCATGCACTAACTGGATCATTGTTGAGTTCCATTTAAGGTGCAACTAGATTTCTGGTAAATAAAGGATTCCTAGTCTTACAGCTGCTTCTAGTGCTTGAAGAGAGGGGTGGGGGTGGACATTTGCAGGACATCTGCAGGAGCTGCTGATCCATCAGTGTGCCTGTTGCACTCTGCAATCCATTGCTCTACCTGCTTTTTTCCTAATGGTTTCCCAGGCAAGTGTCTGCGAAACACTCTCAAAGGGAAGGTGACCAGTGGAGCCCCCTTTTCCCTGTAAACACTGTTTCTACTTCTCATATCTCACCATTCCCATCCTCCCAAAGATTATGGAAGATCTGTGCTATTTGTAGCTCACCATTCCTAGAATCCGCTCTACTTTTTAAGCCTATGTCTCATTTTATTCATTCAGCAATATACAGTTGAAATAATTGTTGTGGCGTCTCATGTCTTAGAAATAAACAATGTTTATCTAGTTTAATATTAAACTAGATAAAAGCAACTGAGATAAGTAAAGCAATATTTTGCAATCAAGACAAAAATATTGTCTGCACTTGAATAAGTTATGCAATTTTGGTGTAAAGTTCTTGTGGAAAGTATATTAGCTATGTAGTTAAATGGGATCTATTTGCTATAAATTTAAATCCATTCAATATATTAGATGTATGAATCTTTTGTAACCTTTGAAAGTAGGCATAGGGATGCTGTGTACTATGGCTACATGTATAAATTCATGGTGCCAATATTTGATCTATGTAAGGGCTTAGTTTTATGAGTTTTAAATATCTCCCCTCCCTATTTATGACAGTCTTTAAGATCAATCAGGTGTGCTATTTTGAGTATATGAACTGTCTGCTTCATATGAGCTGCCTGCTTAGTTTGAACAGTAAGGTATACAGAGATGGACCTATAGAGGATGTCCAATGGAATTCGAATTATTTTTCTTCCTAAGATATATCCAAGCATAAAGAAGGAGCACTTTTTGACATTGTTGTTACATTGCCTTCCTTTGACTGAGTAGAATTATTCAGCTTTTGAACATTAGAATTTCTTTCTGTATACAGTTTTGTATAACCCTCTCTATCTTTAGGCATGAATGGGTTACAAGCTAAAATAAATGCATAAACCCTTTTATATTTATTTTTTCATAGCTGGAACAATATCTGGAGAAGAGATTCCTGTAGTTTCAAGGGCTAATATCAAGGAATACAGAGATAGTTTTTCCTGTGAAAAGTTCAACTTCAGGAGCAACCCTAATATCACTTTCTATGTATATGTCAGCAATTTTTCATGGCCAATCAAAATACAGGTTAGTATAAACAACAATCTTGATATATGTAATATGTTAAGTTAGTTCCTGCACATACCATGGCCACCACGAATGTATGCTGGCCGTGTTCCATATGGAGGGGCTGTGCCATACCATAAGTGCCTTACAGTCTTCTCCTTAGCATTAAGCATGTGTGGTTCATATTGTTTAAATGGTCATCAGACCTTACTGTAAACCCAGCCACCCAATCTGCAAAATAAGGACCTGGTTTCATTACTGAGTGAACAAACAAATCTGCATGCTTTTCTGCACATTTTAAAAACCACTGACTAGTTTTCTGAAAACCTTGTGAATTAATGAGACCTGATTGGTGGAAGAAAAAAGTGTATGCTTTTACGCAATGGGAAATTAGAGACATCTGCTTAAAACATAATGCCATGTTTGATACAATATGGCCTAGCTGCTGCTGTGTTATTAAATCCATAATCTACATTCTACCTGTATTCTGTGTGCACAGTTAAGAGCTTATAAGAATATTGTGAAGATACTCTGTCATTCCGAGGATGGGCCCAGGAAATTCAGAAGGATGGAGGAAAGTGTTTAACTTGAACACTATCTGTTGCATTCAGCCCTGCTTCTTTGGGGAGAGAACTCCTCCCATTGCAATGGGGACTATCGGGTTGAGAAAGATGGAGGGGCTTCAATTTTTCAGATTCCCACTTCTTCTTAAGTCCTAGTTCTACTTCTTATGCAGTTCTACAACACCTTCTTCCGCCAGCACGAGCAAGTTAGGAGAGTTTAGATTCAAGCCAGTGCTTAGATCCTTAATATTATATCACAGGCAAATTTCACAAAAATGGAGGTGGGAAGAAAACTGCAGACTTTTAGGTTTGTTTGGGCATCCCCTCTTTTGGCTAGATGAAAGCCCTGTTCAGACATTTTCTTCACGCAGCAGATCTGGCAGCATGTTCCTATACATGTCCACTGCAAAGAAAGCCACACTTGAGTTAAATATGATTTAGTTCCAGGTAAGTGGGTATGTGTCAAGGAAAGAGGGAGTGGCTGAGCCTGAGCCTCACTTCTCCTCATGCACATAGCAACATCCTGGGTGGTTAACTACAGGTACAACTTTACCCTTACTAGGTTTGCATGACATAGCATCCCATAATGCACTTGATGTGCAGCTTGCATTTTTGAAATGTCAGCCAGCACACTGCAACAAAGCACAAGGGTCAATGGACCCATGGTGGCTTGTTCTGTGGTGAAAGCCTAGACATTTAAGTTTTGATCAAATGAGGCAGCTACATTTGTCTTAGAAATTCTTCTTCAACTGTCACAATGAGATTTGTGTTCCCATTCTTGAGTATCCAAGCTATAATGAATATTTTGATTATGAAAACAACATTGAAATGCAAGGTTTCTGAATTGGTTTTCAGTGTTCATTTCAACTTCTTCTCTTCCATGTCATCACACTATAAATCAGACAATATTTGATGTTCATGCATCTCTCTGTCTTGTGGTTATGTCTTCAGAGCAGTCATCCAGTAGGAAAGCTCTTCTGCAACAAATAAAGAGACAACAAGATGGTAACAAATGGTATTTGGTATTGCCACCATTCAGAAGCCAGTTCTACAGCACAGCCAATGGCAGCTGGTCTGCTATGGCACCAGCGTGCCAAAAAAAAAAAAAAAGACCACCATAGTAATGGGGAATAATGGAAACTGACCTGGGGGTTTCTGCAGAAAGACTGAAAATGAAGGTGTAGATAAAAGGTATAATCAGTAAAGGGAATTCCTCACTGTGCAAGAACAGAAAAAGATTGACATAGGTTTACTATGTCACGTTGTCTTTAATATAAACCATTAGGTCCACAGAATAGTAATAAATCCCCAGCAAATTCTCAGGCAGATTTTGTGCTCATTCAATCCCAGACACGTGCTGGGAAGTAAATTCTTCTGGAAAAAATATATAGATTTCAGATGCATTTATTCATGAATTTATTATTTTTGCATGTTGCCTTTTTCCCTGATATGTATAATTACATGTATTTGGGAGGCTGTTTTTTCCTGTTTGTATACGCTAATCATTCCAACATCCCCAAGGCCTCTTTACATGTATACAAAACTTAAAATACAACATTGCTGAAGACTTTAAAAATATAAGCGTGGTAGAGAATAGTCAAGTATGTTTTCTCTACAGTTTCCAAGGCAAGGTACTTCATTGTGGCAATAAAATCCAACACATATTGGTCTTAATTCTTTCTGCACTGTTGAACACACAACATAAAAATGATTGTTTCAAACATTAGTGGTTCAAAGCTATTTCAGAATGCCTTCTTCAGCAAAAACAACTTTCCTGGGAAATTTTTTTTGGCTAGTAATTTTGTAGTGTCCTCTCTTGCTTACCCTGAGGTTCCAATATAATGTTTTATAATGTGTAACATATGCAGAAATTATGTCATAATTATATGATGTTCTTTGATAAATAGTAGGACAAAATTTATTACCTTCCATTTAAAAAAGTTTTATGTAACAGGACTGATAAAGTAAAAGCACAAAACCTAGGCAATTATACACTTCCATTTATACATTTACTAGAAGATTTTAGCAAGTCGATTCTAAGAAATTAGATTAGGAATATGGTCTTGTAGATTTCTTTGTTCACCTTTAAACTATAAAGACTAAGGAGTGGGGGCAATTAAAAGCAAATGGGTTTGAGGATTTTATCATGGTCAGTAGGTGTGGCAATTGTGGCGTACTAGAGAGAGAAGAGAAGTGCTTTGCCCAGTATGGAATTTGTGCTTTTGAAGACTTTACTTGAAGTTACTTGCAACTTGCTCAAACGGTTGTTCTCTGTGATGGTGAAATCAGACTGGTGTTTCAGGCTTGCATATTCCCTCCATTCCTTCTCATTGTGCACAGACGGCAACAGCTGAACTGCTACATGGGACATTTCCTGAATGCATGATCATCTCCAAGCATATAATGCAGTCTTTCCTATTAGAGATGTGCATGTGAGATACAGTTGAGGTTATTTTATTCTTAATTAAAGGTTATTTCTTTCAAAATGTTTTTGTTCTTACATTGTAAGTTTGGATTTAGTTCATTGGAGGATATTATGGAACTGGCAGTGTTGAATGGAAAAGGCAGTCCCACCACCTAGGACCATGTTGTCCCAATGGGCTTTGCTAGGTATCTTCTTCTGTAATCCTTTTTTGGTTTTACACTTTTCTTCTGCCCCCCTACAAGCCAGGGGACACAAGGAATGACATCATACAATGCAAACTATTACAATCTAAGGAAAATTCATATAAAATATAGATCGGATTATTTTAAAAATGAAATTAGTGCAATTGAATCCATTTTGATTTGCACATCTTATGTTTCTATAACATTTGGTGCAAAAGAAGGTGTAAATATCATATGATGAGAAAAAAATTAAAGGAATACTAAAGGCCAATAAGAACATTGTGGAGAAGCTGAATGAGTTATTTCCATTGGTCTCCACTGTAGAAAATGTAGGAGTGATATCTCTACCCAAACTAATGTTTCTAGGAAGGGAGTCTGGGGAACTGAAGCAGAGAGTGGTGGCAAAAGTTGATGTTCCCAACTGTATTGATCAATTGAAAGTTGAAAAATAACTAGGCCCAGATGGTATCTAACTAAGAGTTCTTAAAGAACCTAAATATGAAATTGCTGATCTTCTAACAAAAATGTGCAACACGTTCTAAAATCAGCTTTTCTACCAGATGACTGGACAATGGCCAGTGCGGCACCATTTTTAAAGGCATCTGGAGAGCAACATCAATTCTTTAAAAGGGGCACTGGAGGGGTTCCAGAAAATTACAGACTGGTTATCTTAAGGCTCACATAAATTGGTGGAAAGCAGCATTAAAGATAAAAGTAGCATATCAAAGAACAAGCCCCACTAAAAAAGTATTGGCACAGCTTCCACAAAGGTAAGTCCTGTCTCACTAACCTTTTAGAGTTCTTTGAGAGAATCAGTAAAGCTTTGGTTGGATTCGCACAACACAGCAAAGAATCCTTAATCCTGTTCTGTTTCCAGGGCATGCAGATTTTGAGCTAAACTGACAGGTCAAACAATCATATTGTTACCTGGGCAGCACCATTTCTATGCTCGGTGCTCTATCCTTCTGTGCTTGCCATGAATCCCAGCAAGCAAAATCCCCATCCTTTCCCTATTCTTGCCTGTGGACTAAAGCATCCTCTTCCTGACCAGCCTGATGTAGTCCTTACACAGATTCCCCACTTCTTCCTCCTAAAGGTACCTGTGTGTTTTTTCACACTGTTTCTGTTTCCAAGAGTAAACACAGATAAAGACACAGCGTTTGGTGTGAATAAAGCAAGTAATCACATGCCTGATACTAGGGAGCTGAGGGTAATACAGGTCAAACTCTAGAAGTGGCCACTTCTGCAGCTGATCTTGCCACTGAACTCTGGTGTTTCCATATTGTTCCTGCTGTGTTCCTCAGCAGTTGGAATACATACACATACACGTACTGCTTTTGATAGCAGAGGTAGAAAATAGCCTTCAGGACTAGGAACCACTGATAGACTTATCTTTTGTTCAGTCCATCTTTAAAGCTGCCCCAATTTCTGGCCATCACTACTTTTTGTGGAATTGAACTCTGTAGTCCAACTATATGCTGTATGAACAAGTGCTTCCTTTCCTCTGTGCTGCAACTCTCACTAATCAGCTTCATGATGTGACTCTAAGTGCTATGATTATGAGAGAGGGTGAAAAATGTCTCTGAACCATGCATAATTATGTACACTTCTGTTATGCTCCCTTACTGCCTCTTTTATAAGTGATACAGTCCCAGATGTTGTAAACTTTCCCCATAGTGGAATTTGCTCTAGTCCCGTGATCATTTTAG